TGGCAAACGGAATTGTCCGTAAACGCTCCCGGCCCCTTATGGGTTTCTGATGTCGTCGGTGCTTCTCCTTAGTTCATCTTGATCGAGGCCGTTAACGGATAATTTTCAAGGTGATCAGAATCAGTAGCCGTTCTGCAAATGACTGTAAATTGCGCTTTCCACCCTTTTTTTACTTCAGAGACAGACCCACCGCTGCAGCATGCCTTCGTCATCCTTGGTTAACTGAAACTGACAAGGCCAGCCGCAATCTGGAACCAAACCTGCCACGACTTCACAATTACCATCAGCTCTACCAGCAGAGGGTACGTCTGCATATACAGCCGGTTACCTTACTTGCCGGATTGGAGTCCGGCCTTGTCGCTTTTTCCCTTTGTTGCTACCTCCTACTCAGTGTCACGCTAAAAAAGCGTCCTGTGAGTAGTGGTCATTTGCTTATTAGACATCTCTGGCAGAGATCGTTTGAAACGACGTCCGTCTCTGGAAGCGTGATGAGCAAAAGGGCGTGGTTGTTCAAATGAAATTGGTTTCCGTCAGTCCCGATGGGTTAGGTTCGTTTGGCCTCCGGCTAAACTAATAGACGAATTTGAGGCAGGCCGTATCTGCAGCCTGTAGCGCGTAGGCGCACAAGGCCGCTTATGATTGGATGATGGCCGGGCCCTAGTCAGGTTAAGAAGGCGTGGTGTAAAATCAGCAAATACGCACCTCGGAGGTCTGTTTACTCCTATGGGAGGGGGGGGGAGGGTTAGAGGCACACAGCAACCCCCAAGCTGAACACTTTTCCATAACCTCCTAAACTTACTCAAGGCAAGCTTCTTTCATATGGAAGTCGCGAGAGAAGGAGAACAAGAGTAGCAGATGTTCTCATCAGGCGAAACTCTCCTGGCGGGGAAATTGGGAGGACGGTTTAGGGCAGGGGTCGGGATCGTATGGCTCACGAGCCAGGTGCGGCTCTTTCGATGATTGCATCTGGCTCTCTCTGAGGTAAAATTGGAATTAGACATTTCAGATTCTGTCATTTTGGTTCCTCCAATGAGGCTTATTATACTCATATTTAATTGAGTTCAATCTTAAAATATATCATACGGCTCTCACTGAAATACAAATATTTACTTTCTTGGCTCTCTGAGTCAAAAAGTTTCCCGACCTCCGGTTTAGGGGAAAGTAACGAGCACCATACATCCTCTCCGTTTTGATGCAGTCATACTGCTGATTCGGAAGTTGACGCACCAGAAATGAACAGTAGGTTTGCTATCTTTGAAATATGTGTCCGATTCGTAAAAAAATACTTCAATTGAGTTGTAATGTTACATATCGCGCAAGATAATCCCAACATATGTCCGGCACGTCATGATGCCAGCTTCGGAATGAGCTTCATTCCGGCCGCCTAAAAAACTACACCGCTTTGGAAAATTACTACCTA